AAAGCTTATGCTCCAATACATCTGTTAGTCTTAAAGGTGCCACAGGACTCTCTGTTGCTTTTTACAGATCCAGACTAACACGGCTACCCCTCTGATAAAGGAACTTAGGTGCCTAAAGCCTAGTTTTAGGTGCTTAAATCCTAGTTTTATGCACCATTGTGAGCCACAAACCCCCTGGTTGGCTGCTGCTGAACCTTGTAGATGTTTAAACTCACTCGGCCCCTACATTTTTGCCATAAAAGTCCTCTCGGTGCCTAACTTATTGCCTCTGGGGTTGCACACTGCGGCCTCAGGTAGGCATCTGGGTGCCTAAGGCCCAGCACAGCCCTGAAACCAGGAGAAGATGGGCAGAGGAACATCTTACCAGCAGGGCTCAATCCAGTAGGGGTGATTATAGGCCTCTCACAGAAAATGGCCTCCCCTTTAACCTTTAGCTCAGTGGTTGAGGTTCTCATTTGGGCTGTGAGAACCCCCTGGTTCAATTCCCCTCTCTGCCTAACAAGGGGAACTTATCTATCATCTCTCAGTTAAGTGGGGCTATGGGGGCAGTCTGCTGTGGGGTGGCAGCAGGGGATATTCCCTCAGTCTCTCTTGTTGAAACCATTCCACTTTATTGGAGAAAAGACAAAATAAGAATGACTTTATAGTCCAGTGTTAGGGCACACACCTGAGGGGGAGTCAATTCCCTGTTCAAATCCCTTTTCATCCAGCAGAGAGGGAGACTACAACCAGGGCCGGCTCTAGGTTTTTTGCTGCCCCAAGCAAAAAAATTTTGGCTGCCCCCACCCCAGCCTTGTAGACCAGTCCCCTGCACTCATAGCAGGACTAAGTATTATCTCAGGGATCGGCAACATTTGGCACGCAGCCCGCCAGGGTAAGCACCCTGGTGGGCTGGGCCGGTTTGTTTACCTGCCCCATCCGCCAGTCCGGCCAATTGCGGCTCCCACTGGCCGTGGTTCACTGCTCCAGGCCAATGGGAGCCGTGATTAGCCGGACCTGTGGCTGGGGCAGGTAAACAAACCAGCCCGGCCCGCCAGGGACTTTCCCTACACAAGCGGCAACCCGAGTTTAGGAAACACTGATCTAGACCATCCCAGACAGGTGTTTGTCTAACCTGCTCTTAACCTCCAGTGATGGAGATTCCACAACCTCTCTGGGCAATTTATTCCAGGGTTTAACCAGCCTGACAATTAGGAAGTTTCTCCCTAATCTCCAACCTAACCCCCACCCCTCCTTGCTGCAATTTAAGCCCGTAGCCTCTGAGGATAGCACAAGAAGCAAAAATCACTGGGTTAACGATTTTAAGGGAGGTTTATGCCTTGTCCACACTATCCCTGTCCTTTTTTTGTGGTCTGAGGCACGTACCCTACCTCATTCTCATAGGCCCTATGCAAAGAGAGGCACCTCCCTCCAACCTTGATTTAAATGCCAAACTCTGTGAGGGGTGGGGATGAGGACACACTCCCATTATCAGCATCTGCCATAGTCTATCATAGGCTGCTCCCTACTTACTGTGCTGGCTTTTGTAGATCCTGTACAGTGCTTGGAGAGAGACAGGTACCAAGGAATGGGGAGCATAGGAACCTAAACCATACTTTGTAGATCCCATGATTTTCAAGGTGCCTAAAAATGAGGCATTGCAATGCTGAGTATTGCAACATCCAAGCCCCTTTATGCATCCAGGCTAGAGAGCCTAGGTATGCAGCCTGACCTGCAGCTTTAATGGCTGTAATAGCAATTCAGACAAATGGATTGTTGGAATTTCTAATAATATTTGAAATTAGTACTATGAGAAATCACCAAACACCAATTTAACCATAAATTCCTTTATTAAATCCAAAGGCCAAATAGTACTTTACGCAGTTGCTCTAAACATGCCTAAATAATAAGCAATTTATTGCAGCCAAACAATAACAAAACATTTTATAAGCATTTGATTAAGGTACTTACAAACAGGCTAAACCTAAGGGTGCTGAGACCCATGTTAGTCACCTTCAGCATTGTCAAGCAGGTATTAGCAATGGACCCTTTAAGATTTTTCTTTTTATACCCTTTAACAAACAAGTGGTGTCACTGCCAATTTATTGACTTCCTCTAAAAAACAGTTGGAGACAGTTCACCCTTATTTCCAGACTTAATTCAGATAAGATAAAAGAAACTTCCTGCACCTCTCAGGTGTTTGTAATAGATTTCTTGCTTTCATCCATAATAAAGTTTACTATTTTGGGGGGTGAATGGCTCATCAATAATCCAGGTGGTCAGCTGATCTAGAATAAAAGCTGCTAATAAGATGGCTACTGCTGAGAGGTTAAAAAGAAGGCAGTTAGTTTCTACTAGAAGAAGAGTCTACTGGATAGAGCTGCTCACAAGCTTGGGCTAGGATAAAGTAAGGTTTATTGAAGGTAATGGGATGTTTGTCTTGATTTTTAGTTAAGGTCTATACCTGAAAGGTGAAGATATTGTATTTCAGAGAAAGTATTGTTTTGGAAAAAACAACAACAATACTGGGTATTAGTAGATGTGTGTAAGGTAGAACTTATGTTTTTAGTTCATATCTAAGATTTTTCTTGACTCTATATGCAACTATGTAGGGCTGTTTAGTTGGCCTTACTGTTTCTTCCTAGCCTAATAGACATGTGTGGTGTGTGGGGTTTTTTTGTTTTTGTTTTTTGTAATTTCCCTTGAGATCTCTTCACTCAACTGTGAATCCTAGACTTAAGATCAGTTTGTTTTCATACTGTACTCTGCCTTTCACCAGTACTACACAGAAGAGTTTTAATGGCTCTTTTAAGTTGATGACCTCTGAACTCTAATATATCCTGCACTAACTGTGGTGAAAACTAGTTAGTATCTACTGAGAAGGTAAAAACTGTGAAGAGTAATACCTACTGATGCTTGTAGTTTGAGAGAAATAAAAGTCTGACTGTCTCATGACTCCTTTCTCTTACTATTTTATGTTGTGGAATCCACTATCTTCTACTTTAGGGTTCTTGAAGGTCTTTGTTTAGCTTATTTATTTAAAAAAAAAAAACAGCCTTAGGGAACCTAGTGGTATCTTCCTTTAGCAGAAAAATCCCCCATGAAACATCCACTAGCCTGTGAAAAAACTACTGGGAGTATTTTAAGAATACATTGCTTAAGAAGTTGTTATAGGAATTCTTGGCACTTGAAAGTGGCTGGTAAGACCCTACCTGTGTCCCTTAAGAATAGGCTTGGTTGCTCTGAAGTAGAAAATTAAGCTTAAAGATGCTGCATCTGAATAGGAGAGCCAAATATTCCTCTGCTATTTTCTGAGTTTAAAAAGAAAAAAATCTGCTCCTGTGCAGTACAAACAGAGTGGATGGTGACACATGTGCCTTCTCTTGGCAAGGGGAACCAAAATTGTTTTCGAAAAGTGGTTTCTGGGTAGACTATTCTTGACTAGCTTCCTTGCTAACTTAAGGCAGGCATGGGAGAAAATGATTCACCAAATTTAAACAAAACCTGTTGTATGAGAGAGCTGGCTTAAAGAGAGAATTACTGGTGGTGAGCTGTATTTCAAGATGAAGAAATTAAGGAATTGTCAAGGTGGGTTTCCTGGGGGAGGGGCTCTCTTTACTTGTGAGTTTGTGAATAAATCTAGGTGTGGGAGTAGGAGGGTATACTTAATCTTGCTACCATTTTGGCTCTTCTTATATAGCTGTAGCTCAAGCACTTGAATGCTCTTACAAAGTCCTAACATAGTTCTGCTTCTCTGGTTTGATATTAGAATGTCTGGACGTGGAAAGAAAAATGTGGTGGCTGCAAAACCTGCAGTTCTATCAAGAAAAACAAAGTCAGCGAAGGCTGGTCTGCAATTCCCAGTGGGTCGTGTCCACCGGCTTCTCAAAAGAGGGAACTACGCTGAGAGAATAGGTTCTGGCGCTCCGGTTTACCTGGCGGCCGTGCTGGAATATCTGACTGCTGAGATACTGGAACTGTCAGGAAATGCTGCCCGTGAAAACAAGAAAAGCAGGATTGGGCCACGACACATCCAGCTGGCTGTGAGGAATGACGAAGAGCTGAACAAGCTGTTTGCCGATGTGACTATTGCTGAAGGAGGAGTTATGCCCAACATCCTTTCCCAGCTTCTTCCCAAGAAAACTCTTAAAGATCCTTTACCAAGAGGGGATGCTACTGCTTCCCAGGAAGAAGCCAGTAACCACTGACTTACTCCTGCCTTTCCTTTGACTCTTGTTTATCAATGCTTTGTATGTGCTAACACTGTTAAATATTACTCAGGGTGATTGTTTTAATGTTTGTGTGTCTTTTAGATGTTTGTAATAAACTTTCTAGAATTCAGCAGTTGACTCGATCTACTGTTTCCCTTCAAGGAGAGGGGAGAATTAACACTTTCTCCAGGAAAAGTCTAACTTGCAGCTCTTAAACAACAAATGTGCTTTTCTAGCACTTTCAAAGCAAGCATGCTCAGAGGAGAGCTAGCCTGGCCTCAGACCCTGTATTAGACTCCAAAGTCTAATTAAATCTCCAAAAAGAAGAGTGGGGGGGAGAGCACAGATTCTTTGCACCTATGGATTAATGAAGGTGAGAGGACTCTGCAGTGGGAAGGGATGAAGGGAAGTAGAAGACCTCTGCTTTTACATGCTAAAATAACAAATCCATCTTCATATATGAACTTGTAATGGAGGAGTTGAGTCCAGTACCTTCAATGGTCATGCACATTGTAGAATGGATTTATTACTCCCTGATCAGCTAAAAGACTTTTGAATGGATCAGCAATGGGTAGTTCTCTCTGCCTCTTCAGAGACACTGTCTAGAAAGGCATGATGGTGGAATTAAATATAAAGCTCTGTAATAGTCTCACTCCTTTCTTACTGCCTTTTGGCAGTTCACGTCCATTGCAGCGCTCTGCACTCAAATAAGGGGTGGCTCCTGCCATAGGTATGTTTTAACTATTTTGGGGCAGATCATTTTCTTCCTTCAACCACCACCAGTTAGTCAGGATGGCAAGCTCCCGGACGTGGTTTGGCCTTTCCTTGCATTTGAGGTATTCATCAAGCAGCTGAGTCTTTCCTCTGGGCCACAGAGGTCAGTTGTGATGCTGCTCTAGTTGAATAGCTGGATTTTCCCACTTAGCTAGTACAGCCTTTATCCAGGATTTGTACTGTCCCATTCAAACCAGAGTTTTAGGTTTGATGTAAGCTGCCTAACTATATGTTGTGTAGTGGACTAGGACTTGGTGTGCTTTTATCCTATGACTGCACAGGTGGTAACAGGCTACTCTACCTTTAATTGTCCCTTAATTTAATGTACATGTGCTATCTGTTCCACCTTTCATTTAGCTGTGATATTCTGAGTACCTTTGCCAGACTGGAAGAAGAGCTCTGTCTTGAAAGCTTGTCTCACTCACCAACAGAGGTTGGTCCAATAAAAGATATCACCTCAGTCAACTTGTGTCTCTGATTAGCTAAGATAGTCAGGCATGCAGCCTGTGCTCTGGATGTCCCTAAACCTCCAACTGGAAGAAGCTGAGGCAGGACAACAGGGGATGGATCACTTGAAATTGCTCTCTTCTTCTCACTTCCTCTGAAGTACCTGGCACTGGCCACCATCAGAAGACAAGATGCTGGGCTCAAGGGACCTTTGGTCTGACCCCATATGGCTCTTTTGTTGCTTCACAGAAGTGGGGTGAGTGAGAAAAGAGAAACTTATGCTTGTTTCTTGTAATTTATGCTGGGTAATAGCGTGAGGTCCATGCTCTTCCCTAGAGTGACCATATGTCCTGTTTTGGCCAGGACAGACCCTTAAGCCCTGTCTCTTTTGGCAAAACTGGGCATTTGCCTGTCTGCTCTTGCCAATTGATCATCAAATACACACACTTTTTTTTTTTTTTCCCTCCCTCTCTTTCAAAAGTGGGGGTGTGGAGGGGGTGATGGGTGAGGCAACGCCAGCCCTACATGGGAGGGAGGACTCAGGAGAGCAGCTCTGGCCGGGCCAGAACTATACGGGCTGGTGGCAGGGAGTCTTGGGCCAGACCCACGTGCAGGGATAGAGGGGGGGGGGGGGCCTTGGGCTGGCCCCTAGTGGGCAGGTGGAAGGGGGCCTTAGGCCAGCCCCATGCATGGGCTGGGGGGTGGCTCATGGGGAGAGGCCTCAGGCTGGCCCTGTGTGGTGTCCTGTTTTCCCTTGGGGAAACTATGGTTGCACTAATCTCTCCACATTCCGTGCAGGTTGACCTCTGCAGCTGTAGAATAACAAGGGTCTCTGGCTGGCAGGCAGACAGGCTAAGGCTGGCCAAACACTTCTATCTCCTTTCTGATGAGGAAAAAGCTTTTTGAAAAATAAAGAAAATGTGAATCTTCTTGTATTAAACTCAGATAATTTTTGAATTAAAATGAAACTTCCCTACCCACTCTTTTTCGGGGGCTGGGGCAGGAGAGAGAAGAAACTAACACCTTTTTGTTTTGAAAGTGGGGGGGGAATAACTCACTCCATTGCTAACATCTTCAGGCAGCCATGGGAGAAAGTGACTCACTAAATTTAGGTTCTAGTTGGTAGGTTTGCTCTGACTCCCGCAGAGGATGGTATCAGTTAGATTATCCACTTAACTTTTAGGATTTTTTTTAGAAAAAGGAAATTAGGCTGGCTCCACAGAGATGGAGGTAGCACATATGAGGGAAAAGGAAGCTGTACCTCTGGCTAACTACCTCCCTTCATAGAGTATACATTGGACTGGGAGAGTGTAGCAGCAACCCCTCTGTGGGGTGTGGCAGGGGGGGTGAAGGTGTAAGAGGGCTTCAGTGAATTTTTCAAGATGAGAAGAGGTAGGTGTGTGTGTGAAAGAGACACACACACACATGTTCCCCTGGTGTTATCTGGACTGGTGATCAGCTAGGTCACTCCACTCCTTGAATCTGGGAGCCAGCCTTGCTCTGCTGTAAGAACCCCCCACTCCTGGGCTGTTCACATACAGCCTCTAGCATGTAAGTTGCTCCTTAGATTGTGCAACCAACTGACACTAGCCAATACCTCCAGTCCCAGACACATCCCTTGGCACCTACATCTTGCAGTGTCCAGTTATGCCTGCTGAACACTGCAAGCTCTTGGAGTTCATCAGTTTTAACAAAGAAATTAATATGTACCAGGCTTGTTATCCTAAGGGGAGTTTCTGAGATGCTTCAAACCAAACACAGTGCTTCAGGTAGAATAAACAAATTTATTAACTATATAGATTATAAGTCAAAGCATAACAAGTCAGATTTGGTCAAATGAAATAAAAGCACAATAAACTTAAATGCTTCTCACCTCAGGCTGGCTGGTTGCCCTTTAGTCAGGCTCTCCCTTTTGATCAGTGCTTCGGTTGCTTGGTGGTGGTGTCTGTAGATGGAGGTGGAAGAGCATGGCAAATATTTCTCTTTGATCATGTTCTTTCTTCCCTTGTGGCTTTAACCCCCCACCCCCTTCAGTGTCCACTGAGCATTACCTCATCGCAGTCCCAAACTGACCAAAGGATGAGAGGTGACTCACTGGAGAGTCCAATAGATTATTTGTTGTTGCCTAGGCCAGTGTCCTTTGTTCCTGTGAGGCTGGGCTGGGTTTGTCCCACCCATGCCCTGATGAGGTGTGAATTGCTCCTCTGCTCTTGGGGAGTTTTTGCCTGGGCTTGCTTTAAGGCATGAGGACACATTTTCAGCCTCATAACTCTATACATGAAATTACAACCTATAACATTACCATAACAATTCTCAGTACATCGTGAGCCTTCTGAAGAGACCCGGCATGACAAACTTTGCATCAGATACCACACAATCATATTATAAAGATGAACATAGGGGGTGTAGAGTGTTCCCACGAGGTACAGAACATCACAGTGTGCTGGTAGCAAAGGGAGGCAAAAACACTTCTGAAAGACAGAACTTCAGACATCTGAACACTCTGGGGCAGAGATTGATTTAGCCTTGTGAAATGAAAACATGTGATTGGGCAAAACCTCACAGGTGTCGGTTTTATCCCTGTAAATGAAGAGGAAATTTTAGGGAAGGAGCAGAGACAATTAAGAGAAATTAGTGCTAAACCTCAGTTGCAATAGGTATGGAGGGGAGAAAATAAAATAAAATTTCTAAAGGTCTTGTGTAATGGAGAGAGAATAGATTTGGGGATATTTTACCTGGGCCCAATCATCAGTATAAGGACTTAAAATAACAGTAGCAGACAGTGACCTCATTACACTGGTGTAAATCCAGAGGAAGTGAGATCAGAATAGGCCCAAGACCCAGATTGCCTTGTAAAGTATGTTATATAAAAATACTAAAGAAAACAAATTGTTTTCTGTGAGGTAGTCTTGGGTGGGTATTTCTGGAAGGGGTGGATGGAGATACTACAAAAACATTAATCTTTGTGTTTTATAACACCACTTGCTCATCCACTTGTAATGTGTTCAGATCATGTTTGTCTAATTTCACTTCTTGAGCCAGAAGTTTTATGTTCCTCTAGCTGTACAATCCCAAACACACTAATCATGTTGTACTAATAAGTACATCCCACCTAAGTCATGATCCCAGAATAGACCATCAGTTCGATTCATAGTCTCCTACCAGGAGTAAATCAGTTAATGCCGAATCCTGCAGTCCTTACCCAGTGAAACCCTGCTGAATTTGGCCTTTAGTGATTACACTGAGAAGAGTGCACAGCATTTTGTTAGTTTTCTGTTCATGTGTTCAACTTGCATTGGCTGCCTGCTGAAGGGGCCTAAAAGGAGGGAGATGACTTCTAGCACTGGTAAATCCCAGTGACTCTGAGTTTGTGGAGAATCAGTGTCATCCTGAGGAATGCACTGATCAAGGCACTTCCTCACTCAGTAAAATGATAGAGTAACATGTATTTTCCCTTCTGGTTTGGTTATAGAAAGAGAGGTCCCTTTATTTTGATCATAATGCTTATTTTGCAATGAACTGTTTGAATTCATATAATTAACCTCTTAAAACCATTTATTGCAGCTAACCCAATTTTTGCCAGTTCATCTTCAGTGACAGCAGTGCAGGATGCCCTCATTATGACTGTTTCTGTGAGCTTTCCCTGGAGCCCAGTGTTCAGCTGGTCAGCTCTCAATTAAAGAAGTTCTCTTCCCACACTGGAAGAAGACCCAATATTAGAGAGACAAGACCTCACCCACCTTGTCTCTCTAATATCCTGGGACCGACATGGCTACAACTACACTGCATACAACAAAAGACCCAATATGTCATAAGTCATGACTACGTATATATTAATATGAAAATCATGGCCTCCATGACTGACAGACAGACAGACGTGGGGATATGTAACAGGGCAGAGATTTCTAAGGCCTTAAGTCTTCAAACTGCACTATGTTGTTGGGACGGGGTCTGCCTAGGCTTGGGTATCTTAAAGGAATATGGGGTAGGTCACTCATTCCAATCTGTGCCTGGCTAGGAGTGAGTGAGAGTAGCTACCTACAGGCATCTAGATATGTCTGTGCAAATTAACTATGCAAATTAACATTTTTATGTTAATAGATATTCACAAACATTTTAAAAGTCAGCTCTTGTGGAAACACTAAACTATCCCTGAGTTTGTTGAGGAATTAAATAAAGGTTCTTAATTTGGAAGCCATTAGGTATGTTCTAGATACTTTTAAAATCATTTCTAGTACTTAGCATTCATATAGCACTTTCCACCTGTAGAGCTCAAAGCCCTTTGTAAAATATCAGCCAATCAGAGCTCGGAATAACCCCACAAGGTAGAGTAATATATTATACTCATTTTACAAATGGGGAAAATGGGTCACAAAGCAGTTAAGACCCAGATCTACAAAAGGTACAGTTGCCTAAATGACAGATTGAGGCACCTAAATCCAAGTTTTAGGTTCCAACTGCAAGCCACAAAACTCCCCTCCAGCTACCGCTGATCCCTGTACATGCCTAATATTTACTTGGTGCCTATATTTTCACTGGGAAAGTTCCCTAGGCACCTATGTTTCTGCCTCTGGGCATGTGCCCTGCTGCCTACGCCATCCACAAACTGGGTGGAGATAGGAGGGCTGCCTGATCCAGTAGTTGTGCTCAGATGCCACCTACAGGATCAGGACCCATTCAAAATATGGCCAGAGGAGGCACTGCTCCCCTTGCAAACTTTATAACTTTTAGCCTAGTGGTTAATGCACTCACCTGGTATACAGGAAACCCAGGTTCAATTTTCCCCTCTGCCTGATAGGAAGCAAGGTTTTGAATAGGGGTCTTCCACCCAGGGCTGGCTCCAGGGTTTTGGCCGCCCCAAGCAGCCAGCCAAAAAAAAAAAAAAAAGCCACGATCGCGATGGCAATTCGGCGGGAGGTCCTTCGCTCCGAGCGGGAGTGAGGGACCGTCCGCTGAATTGCCGCCGAACAGCTGGATGTGCCGCCCCCCCTCCAGAGTGGCCGCCCCAAGCACCTGCTTGCCAGGCTGGTGCCTGGAGCCGGCCCTGCTTCCACCTCTCAGGAGAGCGTTCTAACCACCAAACTATGGGATATTCTGATGGGGAGGGGAAGCCCTCAATATCTCCTCTTGGAACTGTCCCACCATGTATAAATATTTAAAAAGTCATTGGAGGAGAGGGAGTGAGGAAAAAATAATGACACCATACCCTGGTGGCTAAGGCACCTCCGGAGGCAGAGGGCCCCAGAATGCAGTGCTGATGCTCCAAACACTCTTTAATTATTTATATAAAGTGGAACAGCTGCAACAGCAGAGATTGAGGGAGCCCTACATCAGAATATCACACAGCTCAGCCACTAGAGCACCGTTCCCAAGAGGTCGCCTCTCCCTGTTCAAATCCTTCTGCCCTCTCAAAGGGAGGGGGGAATTGAACCAGAGTCTCCCGTGTCAAAGTTTCATGGGCTAAAAGTTATAAGGTTGTTTTGAGTTGAATTAAGGGCTTGCCTAGCTCATTCTCTTAGCCACCCGCCTGCAGAAGAGAGGTTCCTGTTGTGGATCGCTAGCAGAGATAGGTGCCTCCTTGTAGCCTGGATTTAGGCACCTATCTCTGTGAGAGGGGCAGGGCTTAAGACACGCCCATCAATAGCTTCCATTGCTTAGTGTAGGTGGCTCCCCATCTACTAGTGTGCTGGCTTCTGTGGACTGCATTCTGAGGCACCTATCTCTCCCCAATCAGTGCCTAGGCTCCTAAATCAGGTCCTTGTGGATCAGGGCCTAATTAACTCATCAACTAATAGAGAAACATCTTCCCCTCACAGGTGTTTATGCTGTTTCTCTCTTCTCCCTACAATCAAGTTAATCATTTTGGGGTGTGTGGGTGTGTAACTGAATCATTAATAATCCAGGTGGAGCTCAAATGATCTGGAGTAGACACTGCTAATGAGTGGTTATTACTGAAGGGTTTAAAGAGTAGTTTCTACAAAAAGAGGAATCTGTTAGATTCAGATAGTAGTGTTCCTGGACAGGAGAATAAGTAAAGAATTTGGTTAAGGTAAAAGTGTGTTCCTTTCTCACAAGGGAAAGTATACTTTATTTTAGGGGGAAAAAGTGTCTCTTCTCTAATGATCTATTAATTTTAGTTTAAGTAGACCTTAAGTAGCTGTATTTGACGTGTAGTGCAAGGCAGGTTTCTAAACAAAATAACTTCAGTTGCTGTTACTATTCTGTGTCAATGTAAATCACTAGTTTAGCTTCTATTTTCTCCCTAATCCTGATACTGAGATAAGGTGTCTGATCTCCTGAAGACATTGCTGTTCAACTTCTGAACCCTCTGCCTAAACTCATCTTGCTTTGCATCTGGTACCCTACTTAACTGTCACCAACTCTAAATAGAAAATGTTCACTCCTTTAAAATCTTATTTGTCTAATAATCATAGTGGTTTCCCCTCCTTACCAAATCCTGCAAATAACTGTACTGAAACCTAGCTACAGGTCTCTAGCTACCTAATAATAAGGTGCACATGTTGAACAGTAGTAGTTACTACTAACTTTGAAGTTTTTTAAAAACCCACTAACTGTATTGAGGTCCCCTTATTCAAAGATTACAAAACTCACTTCAGGGGGCTTCTACAACATAAGAAAATTCTGAATTCCTTTTACTCTTGTAGTTGCTTACCAGTTTGTGTGTTTTGGGGCTGATTTGGTGAAACTGCTTATTTTTCCTCCCTGGGGTCCCCAGTGTTGTAGGAGAAGCTCTTGACATGGTTTTCAGGCAGAGCTGCTCAAAGCTGTAAGAATCCTGAATACATAAAGCCTTAAAGTATTTATTATACCTCTTGACCAATTTGACCTTTCCTCTTAGGAAAGGGCCTCGCCTGTTCTTTCTGAAACAGCTATCTTGGGTTGAAGACCCTGAGCCTGGACAACACTTCTCTCTCTGGGCAGCAGGAAAAAAACTTTCATTGCTTTTTCTACCTGCCATCTGAATTTACTGGAGACTCTTGATGGGCTGCGGTTTTCCCTTGACCGGACTTCTAACCAGCTGTCTGACTCAAACAGGCTCCTTCTTCAGGAGAGAGCGTGAGGCATTTCACTTGATAAACTACTACTACTAAGTTGGCATCTTAAAATCAGGACCTTCCTCCTAAAGAGAACAAATAAAGGTGGGAAAGTGAGAGGGTGTATTATTGGCTCCTGCTTCTTTATAGCTTAAGAAACACTTGGATACTATAATGACATCCTGAAGCTTGTCTACACTTAAAATGCTAGAGCAGTGCCACTGTAATGCTTAAGTGTAGACACTCCCTATGCCCAGGGGCAGTGGCGGATTAGCCACTGGGACAATGGGGCCCATGCCTAGGGGCCCTGGCCAGTTGGGAGCCCCTGGAAAAATGAGCACCCTGACCCTCTCCGCCCACCCAGCACTCCTGCCAGGGAATGGGGTTAGGGCATGGGGGCTTGACCTGCTCCTGACAGCGCTAGTGCTGAGGAGTGGGGTCGTGGTGCGGAGGCTTCTCCTGCTCCCCAGCAGGAGTGCTGGGTCGGGGAGTGGGAGGGCGAGGTAAGCCCCCGTGACCTGACCCCATTTCCCCAGCAGGAGTGCTGGGGGGGGGGAAGGGACTGCAGGTGAAAGGGGTGGGGAGGGGCCCTCACTTGCTCTGGCCTGGGGCCCCACAAAACCATAATTTGTCTCTGCCCAGAGGTTCTTCTCTCAGTTTAGAGAATCCACATCACCGAGAGGCAGGAGCTTAGTCAATGGAAGAATTCTTCCATAAACCTAGGGCTGTCTATATGGGGACTTCGGTAGGCATAACTATGCCCTTCAGGGGTGTGGATTTTTCACACTCCTGAGCAACACAGTTAAGCCAACCTAATTTTCTAGTGTAGACAAGCCTCTGGCTAATGTTCACTCTTACTTCCCCTTCCCCCGCTTCTCTACACTAGATTGATGTTAGGATGTCTGGACGCGGAAAGAAAAATGTGAAACCGACAACTGCCTCGAAGACAACCAAGTCAGCGAAGGCTGGTCTGCAATTCCCAGTGGGTCGTGTCCACCGGCTTCTCAAAAGAGGGAACTATGCTGAGAGAATAGGTGCTGGCGCTCCGGTTTACCTGGCGGCCGTGCTGGAATATCTGACTGCTGAGATATTGGAACTGTCAGGAAATGCTGCTCGTGAAAACAAGAAAAGCAGGATTGGGCCACGACACATCCAGCTGGCCGTGAGGAATGACGAAGAGCTGAACAAGCTGTTTGCTGGGGTGACCATTGCTGAAGGAGGAGTTATGCCCAACATCCTTCCTGCTCTTGTTCCCAAGACCACAAAGGTGCCTAAGCAAGGACTAAAAGATGGCCAGTCACAGGAATTCTAGTAACCGCTAGTCTGCTGAAAGTGTGCTGTTTCTAAGGCTGGCTTTCTCCACAACACTAGCACTTCATGCACATAGGACTCTTGGTTGTAATCCATATATTTATACATAGACTGTATGTCTTCACTGCTTGTAAATATGGAACCTCCTAAGGACTCCCTCCTGTGGTGTGTGTGTGTGTGTTTTTTTTTTTTTTTTTTAATCGTCTTTGAAATAAATACTTAGTGCATAGAGAAGCCCCTGAAACTTGTTTTCTGAAGTTGGCAGATAGAGAAACTATGGCCTGACACTTGAGAAGGAAGTTGCTGTCCCACCACTTCTTAATTTAAGGAAACTTGGGGACAAGATTTTAAAAACTAATGATTGCGTGTGCATGAAGTGAGACTAATTTGGGTTGGCCTGATTTTCAGAGTGTGGGTGCTCAGCACTTTCTGTAAGTGGGGCCTTCTTATAGTATCTCAGATTGGGCACTCAAAAGTACTAGGCAGTTTAGGGAAACTTTGACTCAGGTTTCCTATAGCGATGATAAAGTAGGTGTGGATTTCTCTCCTGTGCTGTAAGAGGTGGAGTAGGACTACCCTGGTAATTTTAATGATGGTCACCTGTGCATTATTTGTTCCTTGAGGTAGCTTCAGAAAGGCACTTAGGGGCCTAAACCCAGACTTAGGCACGTATGAGTAGTTCTAGGCTCCATTGCAATCCACAAAATTCCTGCTGAATCCTGTAGGCGCCTAAACTTACTCAGTTCTTAGGTTTATGCCCCTGGGCATATGTGCTGCTCCCTCACTCTAGTATCAGGGGGTAGCCGTGTTAGTCTGTATCTACAAAAACAACAAGGAGTTTGGTGGCACCTTAAAGACTAACAGATTTATTTGGGCATAAGCTTTCGTGGGTAAAAACCTCACTTCTTCGGATGCACCTCACTCTAGGCAATCCATAAACTGGGAAGATAGGTGTTGGGCTGTCTAATTTGCTCAAGGGGCCCAATCTGGTAGGAGGCCAGAGGAGGTGCGGCTGCTCCCAACTTTGTAACTCTTAGTGCAGTGATTAAAGCAAATCCTGTCTCCCCTATTGAACAGGAGTAACAGGGGTGCCCTACTTCTTAGATGTCCGCTCTAACCAGCGAGCTATGGGCCACTCAGATGTGGGGGGCCATCAAGCTCTCTGGTTGAACTTGTTCCTCTATGGATAAATACTTAGTCACTGGGGCAGAGGGCCTGGAGCCACAGTTCAGGGCAACTGTAGCATATTATCCCTCTATGGTCCCTTGGCACCTATTCTAGGCTCCTGGCTCCTCCCCCATCACCTCTCTTGTGCATAAATGCACATCTCTCTCCCCACTGACTGTGTGTTTTCCAGGCTGCACAGTTCCCTGCCTACACTGTCATATTCCTTATTTAAAAAGAAGCCTGCATATGGTAACCTGGACAGCCATACCATCTAAAAGACCAGTGTAGATGATTTGCTTTTTTTCCAGAGGTTATGAATAGCGTATTGCCAGCAGTTATAAGTCATCACACAGCTCTTTCTAAGCAAGCACATTTATTCTTAGGGTAAAAGCATTACAGAGAAAACATAAAAGAACATACACACATGCTAAAAAGCTTACCAGAGATCATACCAATTCCAACCGCACCCCTGGTAGCTGTCAACCCTTCATAAACAGCAACTGAATTTTCCTTGTGGTTACAAGTTCATAACTGTCTCAGATTCAGACATACCATGAATAGTTCAATCTTTCCTTTATACACCTTGGGCCTTTGATCTTGGCTTCATGTGACAGGTGAGCAGCAGACAATGGCCCGGTCTTCAGACTGTAGCTTCAAAAGGTTGGGTTTTTGCATAATCAGAAGTGTGGAATTTGTATTCCCCTCCCCCTATATATTTCCCAGGAAAACCATATAACACTTTTTGTTCCAAGAGTCCATGCTGGTCTGGCACATTGTTCAATATAGTCCTTTGAACCAGGACTCACATATGTCACAGCGCCCCCCTCAAGAGGTAACACAATTGCAGCCCACAACAATACATAAACCACTCTTTAATACAATAGACTCCAAAGGCACTTAAACGTAATCCAATGAGGTCTCCCAAGGGTATTGCAGGAAATTTCCATATCTGTAACACCTGAGTCTCCCACTGCTCATGTGGGTCTCCTGAACACCAGGCTAGAGTTATTCTCACTCTCTGTAGCCCAATGACTCTAAATGGCATGTGGGACTGACTTCTACAAAATGAGCACCTGAAGACAAACGTTGGAAGGGGTGGCTCTGCATATAGGTCTCAGTTTGTGTGGCTTGGCTGGCTGAATAACAGTCCATCAAGACTGGCTGGTAGCAGAGCTGTTCCTATTTAAAAAGAAGCCTGCATATGGTAACCTGGACAGCCAAAATTGGACACAGCATTAGAACATAAGGATGTGAGGGTCTCCTTAGAAAAAGATGGTGCTGCAGAGAAGTGCATCAACCTTTCTAGATAAGGTTTTCCACTCCCAAAGGTGGAGACATGAACTGAGGTGAGAACAAGGAAAGCTAACTGAAACAACGTTGCTTGAGACATTTGACTCAAGGTACAGTGAGAATGTCAGCCACCTAAGTAAAGTATAGGATGTCAAAAATGCCTGTCACAAAAACAACCCTTTCAATACCTGAAGAAGAGAGGGAAGCATCCAATAACCCATGAAGTGTGACTGATAACTGTCCTTTCCCCTCTCTTTCCCCACTCCTCTGCGGATGGCACTTGCTAGCAATCCTGCACTTTAAGTGCAACGTAGTCTGGCTTCTTTGTTTAATGTTGTTCAGGCAAAAAGATTGGACTGAAGACCATTGTATTTTAGAAAAGATACATTAAATGCTATTAAACATTTATATTAATGCTAGTTAAAAATCAGGTATAATGGTTATTGTATCAATATGAATGACGTATTTTACAGGGAATGTTTGGGGGGAAATCATGTTTTATTGTCTCTATCAGATGATAGTTAGATATTAAAATATCTTTCTTGCACTATTATATCATTTAGTGCATTTCCTTACCAATCTGTGATTATTCCAAATAGTGTGTATTCTAGTGTTTTGACTACTCTTAACTTTAAATTCATAAGCTCTGGCTTTTCCTTGGGGATACTATAAGGCCCAGATCCACAAAAGGAATTTATGCAGTGTGATGCTCACCATCATAGAGTCTAACTTTTATGTGCCTAGGACAGAGATCGGCAACCTTTGGCACGCGGCCCATCAGGGAAATCCGCTGGTGGGCCGGGACAGTTTGTTTACCGGCAGCGTCCGCAGGTTCGGTCGATCGCAGCTCCCACTGGCCGTGGTTCGCCGCTCAAGGCCAATGGGGGCTGCGGGAAGCGGCGCGGGCTGAGGAATGTGCTGGCCACTGCTTCCCACAGCCCCCATTGGCCTGGAGCGGCAAACCGCGGCCAGTGGGAGCTGCGATCGGTCGAACCTGCGGATACTGCAGGTAAACAAACTGTCCCGGCCTGCCAGCGGATTTCCCTGATGGGCCGCGTGCCAAAGGTTGCCGATCTCTGGCCTTGAAAATCACAGGAACACCATTGCAATGTGATCCACAATATCTGAGTTTGGTACCTAAGCTCTCTATACAATGAATGCAGGGAGAGAGGTGCCTTAGAATGCAATCTACAAAAGCCAGCATGTTAGGCTGGGAGTGGTCAAAGCTAGCCAGTGGGAGATGCCAATGACAGGGTGTGTACTAAGCCCCACTTGTCTCATGGCAGGGCTTAATAAGCACCCTGTCATCAGCATTTCCCATTGGCTAATTTAGGCAGCTTCCTGCTTAGCATGCTGGCTTCATGGATCCCATTCCTAGATGCTTGTCTCTCCCCATTCATTGTATAGGGAGCTTGGGTGCCTGACTCAGGCTTTGTGGATTACAATGTTGTTCCTATGGTTTTCTAGATGCCTAAAAGTTAGGCTTTATGATGCTCAGTGTCACAACTCCTCAGCACTTTTTGTGGATCTAGACTGAAGTGCTGTTAGAATTTCATGGCATAATATGGCTATGACCATAAATTTCCCTCTTTGCCCTTAGTTTTATTCATAGCCTTTGCCATCAAAATAGACATGAGGCATTTGCAAAGAAGGTGTGGGCACATGTATCTCTCCAGTGTGGGTCTAAAATGTAGGTGCACCAGAACCAAACCTAACCTGTTATGCCCTGCATCAGGAGGGCCACATGGAGGCCATCAATGGGTTGGCTGGTAGAACAGCACCCTTTAAAGGAGAGAACTATATAACTGAAAACTCTGTGCAAGTGTGAGAGATTGGGTGAATGAGGTAGGCGTTTGAGCTGCTGGAAACGGGTGGGGGTGACCTGAAAGCAGGAAGTCACGTGAAGCCTGTGAATGATGCAGCAGCTGATCATGACTGAGGAAAGAGAAGGGGCAGACTGCAGACAATGCCCATTATTGTCACCAGTGCACTAGAATCCTGGCTATTAGATTGTTTCAAAAGGTCAGAGCACAGACTACAGGTGTCAGCCAATCCACAACTTCTTATGTAGGTGCCAGGGTGCTTTTGAAAATCTCATTTGGCACCTAAATACCTTTAAAATTCTGGGGTTTAATCTTGCTGCCTCAGGTCTCTGATCTGGCCACTTGTATTTACTTTCCAACCTCATGGGCAGATTGCTTATTAACTAGCTAATGTTTATTGAGTGCTTGGCAGCTGTAAAGTGCTAGAAATGTTAACCATCATGACTTTGTTTATGAAAGTAACTCATTAAAACCCCCAATAAAGAGGTATTTAAAGCATGTGTGTGGAGGAAGGGAACAGCTGATTTCTTAGCACAGCAGTGAAAATGACTCTTTCTCTAACAGCTCAAACTACCTGTACTGCATGAGTGGCTTTCTTATAGATGCTGTGCATCGCATCTGTGAAGATATTTTTGCCAGCAGTATGGTGATGGGGTTCCATCAAGACTCATTCCATCCAGGAAAAACAAATACACTGAAAGTGAGCTATTAACCATATCAA